GATTGGTCGACCAGCGCCAGTGCCCAAGGGGATTATTGACTCATTGACATTATTGACTCAAAGATTTGGAAGGAGAGCAGGTGACATGAAGGTATACGTGTTACACACCTATGCTTGCCTATATTACATGTTTTTCATTAGAAAGCTCGGCACCATAATCTCATTTTGACATAAGGTGATAAATTCATAAGATCATATGAATTTAGATTTTATTTTACATAGTGTTATTTGCCTTTTGTTTTGGATCATTTCTTGGAATATGGATTATGGGGATTTCATTGTCATATTTGCTCTTCACACAAGTATATGAATCGGTTGGAATTGTTGGTTATTGATAGGAGTTGGACCTAAGTATATATGTTCATATTTTACTTTCAATATATGTAAGTGGCATACAAAAGATCAGTAAGGCCACAAAAAAACTTTAGTAACTTGTGATCTTATTTTTCAAACCCCTCCTAGTCATGAAATTTTTGCAGGCTGTTCTCTCAGTTCGGTACTTGTATTTTAGTGGTATTGTAGGTTAAAGACATTAATTGCTGCCTACTTACGTTTTTATACTTGTGTGCAGATGGCCACTCTGGCGACCTACTTTGGGATTGGAAAGCAGAATCATAGGTAATACTTCAACTCTTTTTGTATGGAAGGAGTTAGTTTATTTTCCATTTCATTTCACGCTCTTCGAATAATTTTTTTGCTATGATTTCTCAGGAGCTTGGATGATGTTCGCATGAATCTTGAAGTTCTCAAATATTGTGCAACCGTTTTGTTCTTGGTATGCTAATCATACAGTTGTAGAAGCAATGCCATTTATGTTGTTTTGATTGATGAGTCAATGCTGTTCCTAAATTTTAGAATGCAAATGATGTGCCCAGTATAATCACAAAGTTTATCCTTCTTGCACAATGTTACATGTTGACCAAACCATACATTCTTTTGGGGCTATGTAGGTGAGCTTTATGACATTAGCATATCTCTTTCCTTCCTCTATTTAACTCATTTATCAGATCTGCTGGCATAACCACGGTATTAGTGGCCCAGTGTAGACAGTAGTTAATTTCTGTTATGCTATATCATATTATAAGACCTTTTTCATAAATGAAGCCCACTTATTGTGTAAGTTTTAATACTTTTTGTCTGCTTTTCCTTGTCACTGGTATGTCCTTTTGTTTCTATATATACTATTATGCTATGTTTGGTTCATGGAAATTTTGAAGGAAAGTATATGAGGAAAAA